GAGTACAATAGAGTAGAATGGAATGAAGGGAAGGGAAGGGAAGAGAAGAGAAGAGAAGAGAAGAGAAGAGAAGAGAGAAGGGGCCTTGGAGGTTTTCTAGTCCAACCCCCTGCTCAAGCAGCAAACCCTGAACTATTTCAGACAGTTACCCAATCTCTTTTTCGCCAACTAGTGATTTCCTAGTATATGCTGATGTCCTTGTCTACCCAAGTAAAAGACCCTCCCCCTCTCTTTGTTCTTTGCAGGCAAGCTGGACATCACCCCTGATGACCCTCGGTGGATTGGCGCATGGTGGGCTGGCTTCTTGCTCTGTGGTGCCTTACTTTTCTTCTCGTCTCTCCCGATGTTTGGATTTCCACAGTCCCTGACCCGCCGGCCGGAGCACATAGCAGAGGTAGAGGAAGCCATGTTGCAAGAAGGGGACTATGAAAGGCCAAAGCCAAGCAATGGGATTCTCCCACCGCACTCCATGGAAGCCAACGATGATCCATCTTGCTTCCAGCAGCTGAGAGGTGACGCACTTCCTTCATAGCCCAGGTGGCTTCTGCGGGAGCCAACAGGTTAATGCCTTGCTAGATGTTCTGACCCAGCCTTAGCAGAAACAAGAAATAGACTCCTTGTTCCCAAAAATTATTTCCCTCTGATTATCTCCCATGAACTAATGGCATTTACATACTGAAAAGTCCAGGCAATAGTCCTTCAAAGAGTTAACTGCAGTAACAGACCTTATCAGTTCCTTGAGATAATTGCCAGGCCAGGAGCCAACACAATGTGCCAAATCTTCAGAAATCCAAACTGTTGTCTCCTACGACTACCACTCCCCTTTCCTTCCCCAGCCAGGGAGGGGGCATTTAGTGTCCACGTTTGTTTTGCTTCCTGAGTTGACTCCTTGTCCTCAGTTGTTCTCCTCTCCTAACAGCTCTGCATATACGCGCATCTGGAACAGGGCCCAGCTGTTCTTCCTCCCTACTTATCTCAGCTTCCAAAGGCAGCTGCCTCTCTGGTGGCTGGGAAATGTCGGACGGCCCTGGCTCTATCTCTGCTTCCAATGAAGAGCCCTCATCTGATCCTTCCCCAGACTCCAGGACTGGCCCAAGTTCCTCCCCAGCCTCCTCTTTGTCCGAGTCTGCCGTCAGCTCTGCTGGCAGCTGGAGGGCCTCAACACTAGGTTCATTACCTGATGCAGGCCTTGAGATTGCCTTGCAAGTCTTAACTCCTTTCCCTTAAATAGTGATTCTACCAACCGTTTGATTGAAAAAACAAAACATTTCAAGCCTTTTGCTTTAATCCGGAACGTTGGAAGGACAACGGCATTAACGCTTAGTCCGGTTCACCTTCTGGGATGACCTTGGCTTGACCCAGCAAGCAGGTTTTCCACTTGTTCTCATGGCAACCTTTGATCCCTTGTAAGTGGAACATTTGTTTCTAGGATCAAATAGCCTTGTTGCCTCTTGCTCTCCTCCGGTGATGGGTGTGCATTGCCCGCGCCACTTTAAAAGGCCACTGTGACGAAAGCACGGTTGCTCTGGTTTTGAACCCGTCACATAAACGATTTTTCATCTGAGCCAAAGGTGTTATGAACTACAGGTAGTCCTTGGTTTACAACAGTTCATTTAGTGACTGTTCGAAATTATTATGGCATGAACAAAAAAATGACTTCTGTTTTTTTTCCACACTTACAACCGTTGCGGCAGTCCCAGTTTTGTGGTCTTGACCCAGTCATCAAAATCAAACTAAGTATCCATGCAATGCATTCCGCGACCACTAGGTGGGCCTGGGTACCTCTTAATAGTCCAGATGAGTTAGATTGGCAGCGGGATAGAGACACAGATGCTAGATAGCTCTTGTAGCGTTCAGTGAATACGGTCCAAAATCAACAAAGGATAAATCCACAAACAAAACTAATGTACAAGACGTACATTCTTATGTCCTTGAAGTAGGTGTTTCATCACTGGAGATTTTTAAAGAAGAGACTGGACAGTTACTTGTCTGAAGTGATATATAGGGTCTCCTACTTGAGCAAGGGGTTGGACTAGAAGACCTCAAAGGTCCCTTCCAGCTCTATTCTGATTGATTGATTGATAATAAAGTAGAGAGAGATGTTGTTTTTTTCCAGAGCTAGGACTAAAAAAATTGTGGGCAGAAAAATTATATTGCTTTAAGAGAAGGAGAGACTTCAACATCTCCCCCCCCACACACACACACAAAGGTCGAACTCCCGTGGTGGTGACAGTAGCACCAATATTTTAAAGAGGCTCAAGGGATGGAAAGATGGACAGCAAAGACTGTCTTTGGATGAATGGATGAAAAGAGGATTTTGCCATGAATAGAATAGAATAGAATTCTTTATTGGTCAAGTGTGATTGGACACACAAGGAATTTGTCTTTGGTGCAGATGCTCTCAGTATACATAAATTTCTTTTTGTCTGTATTCCCCTTCCCTGGTTGAGTTGTGAGCCGCCCTAAGTCCCCTTCGGGGGGAAAAGGGCAGCATATAAATGAAATAAATGAAATAAACTAACTACATACAAAGACAAGATACATTTCTCACGAATCATAAGGTACAACACTTAACGATAGTCATAGGTTACTAATAAGCAATTAAATTATACTAGGAAACAAATAAAACAATATAAATTGTAGAGATACAAGCAATATGGTTATAGTCGTAAGTGGAAAGAGAAGGGTACTAGGAAGGAAGAGAAGAATAATAGTAATACAGTCTTAGTAGATAATTAGTTTATTT